AGATATGAGGCCAAGAGTCTAGGTAAGTCTAGGTAATAAATTCTGCAACTCATACATACACAACTTGGAGTTTGTCCTCTGAAAGGATGTTCTTGTTGGAAGTCCCAACCCTGTAAAATCAGATGTCTGAAAAAAATGTCCTGTAGTGCATGACTTCTGATCTGACACTCAAATTTCTTCTTTTTTAAGAGAGTAAGGTTCAGGTCACAGAACCTGGAGATATTGAAATTAAAAAAAGAGGGAAACCCTTTAGAAAGTTAGTAGCATCTATAGTTAGGAAGAGATGTTAAAAATTCATACAGGAAAGGAAAAAAATCCCTGGAAACAAGAACATTACTTTGAATACATAGTACCAGTGCAACTGCTAAATGATGTTAAGAATGATTCAGACTAGTGTGTCTAGAAAGGTGGCAACATGTCTCAAAGTTTTACTTCCAGCTGAGAAAATAACAGTACTTGCCAGAGCTAACTCTTTTGAAAGAATGAAAAATTTTTAAAAAAAGGATACAGGTCCCAGGAGTAAATCAGGAACTTGGCATTTGAGTTATTCCACTGTATTCATGCCACGTGCCACTTGGGACACCTGGAGACCTCCTGTTCAATAGTGTATCTAAATACAACTAAGGCAACCTGTCAATCTGCTCAAATTTTTAAGCGCATTATTTTTGCTCCCTGTTGGCCCAAAGAATCATTCTTAGCATTACTGTAGGGGATTCATGAAGGAAATTGGTGACGCTTATACAATAGCATTTCTACCACTTCAATTTATAGAACTTGACTAAAGCCCTGTGTTAAAACAGTATTGCTGGTTTAGAACATAGAGGTGGTTTTTGATGGAAAGGTTCTGGCCAAAATAAAGATATTTTTGTGGGATAAAGAAACTGAACACATCCTCGTGTTTGCTCTGATTGACATTCCTTACACTTTCATTATTGTCTCAAACAAACACTTCAGTTTTTAGAAAGTAGAAGCGGGGAGTGAGTCACAGAAATATTGATGGATCTGACTTGTGGACTTCTAGCTCTTGGGAATTGGGATAGAAACAAGTCAAGAAATATGGGTTTTGCTTGTTTTAGAAGAAATCCAAGAACTTAGAGCAGTTTTATTCAGGGCCCTCATTTGGAACTGAGGAGGGCTAGGTAAGCAGGAGCACAAGAGCATAGGATTCTACTGCATTAAAATGTTTTTCCATGGTAAGCAATAAAATTTATTTGTTTTTGATTTAACTATATGACATCAAAAGGAAACTGTGTTGGAATATAGTGATAACTCATATTTTTCATGCCTCACCCATTTCCTTTACATATTGTTTTTTATTGGTGATCTTTTCTTTCCCAGCTTGTGGAGGGAACATTTATATCAATGATTTCAACCCCAGTGGATATACATCTTCCCCCAACTATCCGAGCAATTACCCCCCACATGCCGACTGTGTCTGGACCATAACTGCTCCCAATGGACATGCAGTAGAGCTGCAATTTGAAGATCAGTTTTATATTGAACCTTCACCAAAGTATACACCCACATTATTTTCCCTGTTTCCTCAGACACTCCATTCTGATTCTTCTTTCCTTGTTACTTTGTCTAATTCTTCCCAGAGAGCACTTCCAGATTTATAATCAAATGTCATGGGGAAATTTTTGAGAGATCACTGAAGCTATCAGGCAACTGGTTAACATTCCTAGGACTTTGCAGTGTATAACAGAAATCAGTATAACAGGCAAAGTGGAAACATCCATGGTAGAAAGGTGCTTCCTATGAAATCTGTGCCCTCTAGTCCTTTCATATTCATTTTTTCAGTCATTTGGACTCTCAGGTGCTTTCAAAGACATCAAAAATAATTTGCACCATGACACTTTTTTTCTCCCTCCTTTATTGTCTGGCTGCTGTTTTGCAGTGGGCCTACACATATTTTGCACACCCTGCCTGAAGCATAAAACAGGCCTAGTTTCCAGCTGATGTAACTTCATTCATTAGGGGCTAGACCACTATAAAGCAAAGGTGAGCATCACCTGTGAGACCACATCACAAAAAAATGGTGAAGGATGAAGAATTGCAAAGGTGTCCTTCCTGCCTTCCCAGGACACTGCACCATTCTGAGGGAAAGCTGTTAGTTAAGATAGTTTGGTCTTTCTATACCTACCTAAGTGAGGTCCCAGATTTGAATTTTTATTGCCGTAATCTGTCTTGTTGTTGTTTCTTAATTCGAATCATCAGTGAGACTTAATAGGGAATACCTGCTGAATCTGAATGCTGCCAAAAGAAAAAGTTAAAGATGGTCATAACTACTTTGCCAGTGCTACTCACACCCCTTCCCCGAACTTGCTTCTGTCAGGTCTGATCTGATCATACACTAAGATTTAGATGAATCTTTCTCAATGTTTCTAGCATTTCTTTTGATTCAACTATTACATAACTTTAATGGATTATGAACTTGTTGATTCTGTCCTGGTCACAGTGCATGAAAACTGATCTAATTCACTATAGCTTCATGGCTTTGTGCACATACTGAAATGATTCTTGAACCACTACTGCCATGCATTGAACAGAAAATTCTCTCCTCTTGTAGCTGCACTTCCAGTTACCTAGAGCTACGCAACGGCGCCGACTCCACTGCCCCCATCATTGCCAAGCTGTGTGGAGGTTTGATGCCAGGCTCACAGAGGTCTTCAGGAGCTGTCATGTACCTGAGGTTCAGGTCTGATAGCAGTGCCACACATGTGGGATTCAATGCTAAATACTCCATTGGTAATGCTTGCATTTATCATTGTCTTTGATTTTAAAGAAGGTCTTTGGTTGTGATTGTCAGATTTTTGTGATAGGGCTTAAATCAGGCGTGTGAGGTGGGCTGACAGATACGTGCCTCTTACAATTAGTGTTAGAGCTAAAGCATTGGAACATCAACATGTTCTGCACATAACAAGAGCAGAAAATTAGGGAAATACAAATAGGAAAGAGCTCACAGACTTGCAGCAGTGGAAAAAAATGACTGGATAACCTCTTGTCAAAAACAATTATCAAAGGAGCAGTAGAAAAAAGGTCAATGTGGATAAAGTCATGTAACATGATTTGATTTTCAGCATGCAAACTTAGTGTCACTTTCATGAGCAGGATTCTGAAGGGGAATGCAAAGATCAGCTGAGAATTGGCAGGAGAAGAACCAATTAGGAGCTTCTCTATGTAAATGTAAATCAGTCTGTACTAACAATGCTGCTAGACAAACAGGGGCAGCACAGTAATGAACTGAAAAAGGAATGAACAGTGAGAACCATTATTTGTCAGCTGGGAAAAGAAATGTTTTAAAATTATTTGCTGTCCAGCTGCAAAAACAGGACTAGAAAGCACTAGCAAAGTTTTAAAATTAAAGAAAAAGTAGTCCTCAATATGCTACTTTTTTTGTTTTGATAATGTGTATAATCTTCAAGGAATAGCAGCTATTATTTTGGTATCACTCACATAGGAAAGTCTAGGACTGTTAATTTCACAACAGCAAAGTAGTGAAATATATTGTTGTACACAGAATTTTGCTGATTGCATTAGACCGCAAACACTTAAGCCCAAATAATGTGCTATCATATTTCTGAATGTGTAAACTGAAGAAACTTGCATATATATACTTATTAGTAAATGAAACCACTACTGGTATTTACCCAAAGCAAATTTACAGTGTCTTAGCTGGATACCAATCATCCTAAAACAAAACACTAATCACTCAGAAGAGCAGACAGTATGAACACAACTGTTGTTGCCACAGAAATATTGTAACTCACAGACATAAAATTCACTGTAAAAATAAATTCCAATAAATCCCACCTGGGAATATTGTTTGCTGTAAGCCTTGCTATTATGAACTTATGTTTGCGGGTACCACAATGAGTGTTCAGAGAGAGAAAATTAAAAATGAACTGCTGTTTTGCAAATTGTGTAGCAATCACCAAGGCATCACAAGGAGTGGAATGTGAAAGGAAGGGATGACAGGAATGAGGAGTCTGAATCATAGCTGTGAGCCCAAACCATAAGTCAACTTTTGCCAGTCATAAAAAATTTAGATCCACGCTTAGCAAGCTGCATTTCTTTACAGTTTATCTGATAACATCTTTGCAAGTTTTTCTGGTAATGATGGACATAGGTAGAGGTTAGATTGAAAACTCTGAGTTTATTCAGAGTATAAGAGATTTGACAGAGAGGAAGAGATGCTTGCAATGGCATGGTGTGTGTATATGAAAAATGATCAAAAACAAACCAGGGCTGGGTGAATTAGATGGAGAATGTGGAAGATTTTTAGCTGGAAGGCAATTCCTGGTTTATTACCACAGTTAGAAAACAAGTCAGTTGTGCCTCAGCTTTAAGTCTTTTTTAGGAGAAAGGTCATCTCTTGAGGTCCTTCAGTCTACCAAATAATGCTCTTCCTTTTGCAGCTCCCTGTGGTGGGACAGTGATAGGACAAACTGGCATCATCGAGAGCATGGGGTATCCTGAGCTTCATTATCAAGACAACCTGCTGTGTGAATGGTTTCTGCAGGGTCCCAGGGGCCACTATCTTACCATCAGACTAGAAGGCCTAGATATTCAAAACTCTTCCGAGTGCACAAATGACTTTGTGGAGATCCGAGAATACAACGCTTCTGGTCTGAGAATTATTTCAGTGTTTGTCTTCCCCTGCCTAGTATTACTTCGAAATCTCACCAGTGGTTCCCAAAAGGATTTCCCTTTGGGTACACAGTGAGCCTTTTCAATGGGCAGTATTTGTTTCTGTCTGCCTTGCTTGCTGATGCAAAGTAAGGCAAACAAAGCCCTTCTATATGCCAACAATAACTTTGTTTTATGAGTTTACACCTGCCTGTCCAGTAAAATTGGAAAGAGATCCTCCAACATAAATATAAATAATATATTGATATAATATTGTCTTTCTGTATGTGATTTTTGCAGGAAATCTGTTGGGCAAGTACTGTGGAAATACTCTCCCTCATGCTGTGGATACCTCTGACAGTTTTGCTTATGTCAAGTTTGTCACTGATGGATCAGTCAATTCCAGAGGATTCAGACTGCGCTTTGATTCCAGTACTGAAGGTTGGATTTGTAAGGTTGCAATATACTCTCAGGAAGCAATATATACCACAGCCCATAATTGCACTAATACAGCATGTATTGTAGATCACTTGTTCTTGGAGTGGTGTGTATTTGCTCTTAAATTTCAGCTGTA